TGCTTCTCGCAATTCCCCTTGTCACTGTGCCGAAATACTTTCGAGTTTTTTGCTCCTTCTTTTCGCTTCTTTCGCCTTCTCCGCCGTTGACGAGCTGATATTCTTAACGGCTCAATTAGTATACGTGTCCACCTCGCACGTGTTCGCCTCGTGTTCGCCTCGTTAGATCATTAGGTCTTTATGGCAGATCGGCCTCCTTCGAAGCGGCTTCGGCTCGGTTCGCTTGCAGACGGGTTCCGTTGTGGGAGAACACGTCCGTTTAGTGATTTGTGCACTGACCAAGCACCTCAGCAGCGGCAGCATGCTGCATCACAGCAGACAGCCGCGCCAGCTAATTCAAGGGGGTCCGCAGAGGGCCAGCAAGCGGTTGCTGCTGTCGATACGCCGGTGGAGGAGCAGCAACAGGCTGCTGAACCTTCTGCTGCGGAATTACGGGCTAAATGGCGACGGCAGAAAGCTGCACAGCGTGCCGCAGCCCCTCCTGAGTTGCGGGTGTTGCAGCGCCAGCAGGATGCTGCACGGCACGCAGCTGCACGTGCTGACCCGGAGGTGGGGGCGCAGCTGCGGCTGTATAACACTGCACATCACGCGGCTGCTCGTACTGACCCGGAGGTGAGGGCACAGCAACGGCTGCATGACACTGCACAGCATGCCGCTGCCCGTGCTGATCCGGAGGTGAGGGCGCAGGAGCAGCTGCAGAACACTGTGCAGCGTGCCGTTGCCCGTGCTAATCCCGAGGTGAGGGCGCAGGAGCAGCAGCGCAACACGGCCCAGCATGCGGCTGCACGGCAGGTGCAGCAGCAGAACCAGCAGGCCGGCCCTAGGGATACAATATTGGCTCGCATGCACCGTCTCCTGCGATTCACGGACCTCCATCGTGGCGACGTCATTGACTTGCCAGAATTTATTTTGGCGATTCCAGAGGGCCGCGTGCAGGATCTTCCTGGCGGTCAGTTACCGCCTGACAGGCAGGTACCGTACACAGTACAGCTGCAGTGTGCATCGACCATGGCTGCTGCCTTGCGCCGGCGCATGCCCTCCCGTGTCTGTGCTGTGTGCTCTGAAGTGTGCTCGGAGGACCAGTCGACGGTGCTGCACTGGATGGATATTCCCAACGTTGACATTTTACGTGCAGACATCATGTGTACGGACGCTGTGCAGCGCTGGGGACGTACTCTAGTGTGGCGATGGATGGCGCGTACATCTCAGGGAGATGCGCCACCGCCACCTGAGCCAGTCCTGCCTGCTCGGTATCGTGTTAGCCGGGCTGAGCGGGCTGGTGCTGTGGATGAGGACGGCGGCAGTGCTAGTGGAGCAGGCAGGCTGGTGGATGATGTAGCGGAAGGGGCATTGGAGATGGGTGGTGATGCTCCGGAGACTGGTGATTTAGAGGCAGCGGCGGCTGGGCAGGAGCCGGCCGAGCAACTTCTGCTGGACCAACAGCCGCGTCCTCCGCGGGTGCTGCCCAGAGCCTGCCTTGACGACCCAGCTAGTGTGGAGGTGCCGTACTGCATGCGGTTAGAGCCGGATCTGCCCAACCGCACTATGCTGGTCGGCGACAGTGTTGCAGAACGCATGTTCATATGCAACGCCTGCCACAAGGCCTTGAGTGGTAAGTCAGTTTGTGCTGCATGCTGTTCGTCGTGTCTATGCGGTATAACTCAGTGCGGCACATTCTGCCTGCGTCTGTTCTGCTCCGTTCATCTGCAGCATGTGCTTGCCTCTCCTGCCTTTGCTGGCCGCTTTCCTATTGATTCCCTAGTCGTCTCGGACCTACTTGCCCGTGCTTGCCCCCCTCCTACAGCCTGCCGAGTTCCCGAAGCTGCACTGGCGCGTCTGGACCCTGGCGATGTGCCGCGCGTCAACCATCTGGGTGACCCTCTGCCGTCGCCCACTTTCCTGGAGGGGCAGCTTCTGGGCCGCGGCCGCATCGTCCAGCAGTTGCTCATCATGTACCTGGCAGACCGACCGCCGGACGTCTTCCCGCGTGCTGTAAAGACTCACGGCATTGGGGTCGTAAATCCTGACCCGAATATGCTGCGAGCACAGCTGCCGGCGCGGGCGTCCGACCTGGCTGGCGCTATCACGGTTGTGTGTGTCGACCAGGTTCGCAACCGGGCGGAGCTGCTGGAACGTGTGCGAAAGGCGCCAGGTCTACAGGTGCGAGGACAGGTCATCGTCGCCTGGGTCCGGTTCTTGCAGCACAACGATGAGGAGGAGCTGGCTGTTGATGAGGATGCTCTGCAGGAGTACGAACGCATGGGCTGTGCTGCAGGTGTGCCGGACGAAATCTTGCATGCCGCCCTTGCGCCGACTGATCCGGAGGTGGCGAACGTTCTCCGCACCACCTTCCTGCACGATCGCACGGGTGCGGCAGGTGTGCGGCAGTTCCAGGACGTGGTGGAAGCGGCTGTACGTGATGGCAATCTTGCCGATGCAACTGCGGTACCTGACATGGATCCTGTAAGACCGGTGCAGCCAACACTGGCGGATCCGACCCCGAATGCAGGTGTGCTATTTTGTTACTGTGCTTCATGCGATCTGTTGTGTACTCTCTGCTTTCGTGTTGCCCTCGCACTGCACCTCCTGCACCGCCGCTACCGCACCTGTCCCGTGCATCGAAAGAATGCTCCTCTTGTGCTGACGAATCTCGATGCACAGCCTGACCTGCCGGATAGGCTGGACTCTTGCAGCGCACTCGCCTGTCCCGCTGGTGATGTGTTCTACTACTCCCCCGTGTATGTTATTGAGTGCAGGGCAACTTGCCGATGCAACTGCGGCACCTGACGTGGATCCTGCAGGACCGGTGCAGCCAACGCTGGCGGATCCGACCCCGAATGCAGGTGTGTTATTTTGTTACTGTGCTTCGTGCGATCTGTTGTGTACTCTCAGCTTTCGTGTTGCCCTCGCACTGCACCTCCTGCACCGGACAGCCGCTACCGCCACTGTCCCGTGCATCGAGAGAATGCTCCTCTTGTGCTGACTAGTCTCGATGCACAGCCTGACCTGCCGGATAGGCTGGACTCTTGCAGCACACTCGCCTGTCCTCGCTGGTGATGTGTTCTACTACTCCCCCGTGTGTGTTATTGAGTGCAGGGCAAGACCCTGGACCGGGGCCATTCACCGCCATCCTGCGTGGACCTGTCGACCAGCCAGTTGAAGGTGCACCAGGTGCGTGCATTCTCTTGCTTGGCTGAGCATAGGGCTGACGCATCTTCGCTTGTTTGTAACGCGTTCGAGACGCTTCGATTTCGCTTTTGTCCGGCCTATGCACACACCATGCTGCATTTACCGCCGTTGCTGCACCATGCTATCAGCGTGGATTGCATCCTGACCCAGCTCTTGCGCATCTGTTGTCTGATCCTGCAGTCGATCCGGCAGCTGCCACTCTGGACGAGCTGGAGCTGATCCTGCCACAGCCGTCGAATGTGGGCGATGATGGCAGCGAAATCGACCGCTTCCCGGGCCGAGTGGAGGACCTTCTGACTGGCCGCGCACGGCTTGCGTTTGCGGCTGGTGGCCGTGACAGCCACGTGCTGGATGACCGTCATCCCGCCATCCTCACCCTTTGCTTCCCCCAGTCCTTCCCGTACGGCTTTTCTGGTCAGCGTCCCCGCGGCATGTCTTTTCCGGCGTATTGTCGCCACCTGCTGCACCGCGTGCCGCGGACACAATTCGGCGGCAATCTCATGCTGCTGGCACGCATGTACGACATCTGCGTGCGCCACGAAAGCATGGCGCAAGTGGGCATTACCATGAACATGCGGCCGCATCTTGGCGAACCAGCGGCGTGTGTGCCGCGTGATGTAATCCGTGCTATGGGCACCATACTGGCGCTGCCGTATCGGCACTCACAGCGGCGGCAGCTGCTTGCGCAGCAGTCGCCGCTGGTTAAGGCGCTGGTGGAGGGGGCCCGCCTCAGTACTCTGCGCCTCGACCTCACAGACGCATATTACAACGGTGCCCGATCCAAGATGCGTGCAGCCGCCCTCACCATTGGCTGGCCCCCGCTGTTCTTCACCGTAAATCCGGCAGATATGCATGCAGCCTGTGCAGTCGTGGCCTCCGGGCAGGTGTTGGACTTCGATGATGACGGACGACCGCAACATATCCCGAGCACGGTGGAGAAGTGGCGGCGTGTGAAGGATGACCCGTATAGTTGCGCCGCCCTGCTGGTGGCCACCAAGGAGGTTCTGGTGGAGGAGCTCTTCGGCTTCGCGCCAGGCGCCATGCAGCAGACAAACCCGCGCTGCTTCTGCGGGCTCACGTTTGAGGTGGCGGTCAAGGTGGAGCAGAGCGGCCGCCTCGCCCTGCACATCCACGGTGTTGCGCATGTGGCCACATTCGCAGTCGAGCGCCTTCAGGCGCTGTTCAGTGGACCCAACTGCCGAGCGCTGGCCCTGGCATACGCCCTGTGCGCCATGTGGTATCCCTCGCCGTACTATGACCCTTTCACCTGCGGTGCAGAACACTACGTCATGGATATGACCGTCGAAGAGGTCCAGCAGCATGGCCGTGCGCCTCCGCCCGTGGACAAGTCCTGCCCGCCTGCAGCGTACGATTTTGGCAGGCTGGCCGGCTGTGCAGGTGGCGGACTCCCGCCGCCTCCCCGGCATGCTGCTTGCCGCACGCACCATGCGGCCGTCATTCGCAGCACGCTTACTCATACACATAACGACACCTGCAAGTGACACGGCTGCCGTGGCACAGATGATAGCTGTGGCATGGCATTCCCTCGTGTCCTGCGCAGCGCCTTCCAGTGGATTGGCACCGGCGGCCTCTTCCTTCTGCCGCGATTGGGCCCGAACATTGTACCGCACATGCCAGCTGCAGCGCTGGCATTTGGGTGCAACCAGCTGTTTAGTCTGGCGTGCGAGGTGGATCGCGTCTACATGGCAGAGGCAGCAGCGCAACTGGCCCGCCCTGAAGATGAACGGGGGGACTGTGTGCTGCTGCAGCCTGCTGCTGACCGCGCCCGCGACGCTGCCTACTACAGCACGAAGTACACTGGCAAGAGCATCAACGACAGCCAGGCACAGCTGACATGCAACGCTCTTACCCGAGTGCAGGATTTCCTGCTAGCTGGAAGGACACCGAATCCGGGTGCCAGTGGGCCCACCGCGTTTGGCAACATGTGTGCCACTGTGCATCGCATGACCGCTTCCATTACGGCTGGTATGGCGCTTGTCGCCATGAAGCTGGACGGTCATTCCACCTTCGAGGCGACGTTCGATTGCGCATACCTGCAGGTAGACGCGTTCACAGCGCTATCTGCGGGCGCCGAGCAATCTCCTGAGGTGGCGACCACAGCGGCAGTACTGGTGGAGGCTGAGGAGCAGGAGGGCTACACGGTGACCAACGCCGTGCATAACTACGTGCTGCGGGGGGAAGAACTCAGCGGCCTGGACTGCAGTGTGTACAACATAGCCTCCAACTACGAGGTCCGACGTGTGCCGCCAGCTCAGCACCCGCACCGAGAGCGATTGGGTCTACAGATCCCGGTGGCAGCTCGACGCCGCAAGCGCACTACCCCAGCCACACCCATAACCGCCCCTGTGCCTGCCCCTGTGCCTCTGCTGACTGCAGCCCCGGCCCCTCCTCCTGAGCCACCTGCTCCTACAGCTGCAGCGACACTCGACCAGCCAACTTCTCAGACAGCCACGGAGCTGCCCCGCCTGGTGGCCTTCCACAGCACGCATCCGCTGTACAAAACACATGTCCACATCCGCCTGCCGCGGCCACGATATGTACAGCTTGGAGGCTCTCTTCCCCGCCGGCCCCGCCCTGGCACCTCTGCTGCGGGCATGGCGCAGTACTACGCGTTTGTCCTGGGTACTTTCAAAGCTCACCGGGGTCAGCCCATCCCCCCCGGGCTGACTGTAAAGGAAGCCTACGACACCTGGTGGGCAGAGCTGGGCACTACCGAGGCAGGTCGCTCGTACCAGGCATACGTATCGGTGCTGCTGGACAACATCGAAGAGGACCACGCTGGGAAAGCCCGCCGTCAGGCGGAGTACAACCAACGGCGCCGCCAGCAGCGTGCAGCAGCGGCAGCAGCCGCGCTGCCTGAAGGTGACAGCACGAGCGCTTCGGATGGAGATACCGATGATGGCATCCGCGGGCATCTCAGGCCTGATCCTGAAACACAGCCGCCCGCCGAGGACCAGCTGGAGCACTTCGTGTACATCCCAGGTCAGGAGTATCCGACGGCTGGCACCGACCTCGCCGCCGTCGCTCTTACGGACCTGTTTGACTGCACCAACGCTGCTGGCGTGTATGCCTATAATGCAGCACGGCGCTGCCGGGCCCCGGCCCTAGCGGATGGCCATGGTGCAGGCAGCGATCGTTTCAGCCGTCGGATCACACCAGCGGACCTGCCCCTCCTGACTGAAGCAACCAAGCGTCTGAAGCGGTATCTCGTTGCCGCAGCAGCCGGCACTGTTGAGGCAGATGGGGGCGCCCACACGGGACTGACGGCCACACCTGAGATGACACCCCTCGTGTCGAGCTGCACCGCCCCACCAGC